TTTTCTTCTAGTACTCGTGGTTTCATTTTCTTTCATATTTACATCTTTGATCTTGAATTTATTTATATGCAAAAGAGTGATACGATGATTTACTTATTTTCCAGAGAGTTATCTCAAACTTTTAAGTGTTTTTGACTACAAGCGAGGAAGCCTGTATGACTGTTAAAAGTGAGGAATTATGGGCAAGTCAGGTTCAAATTAGGTGGCTACTTTGCTGTCAGCTTACAAATTCATTTGAAGTCAGTAATGGTTGAATGAGGGCTTTTTCCAGCACCACCAAGCAAGCAACAATTCTGACACTCTACCCAGAGACGGCATCAGATCACACAGTTTCAGGCCTCAGCACTACAAGACTGCCCCTCCACCCCCTTGGACACCACTTGCCAGGTTCAGGTTGTTGCAAGTGATTCTGACCAACCTCTCCTTGATTTCAGTTAATTTGGTAGAGCAGCTTAAAGAACTCAGAGAAGCATGTTATTTACCAGATATCTGTTATAAAAGGAAATAACTCAAACTGCTTGATGGAAGAGATGCATGAAACAAGCTATGCTCTCTGGGTATGGTACTCTCCTCAACCTTCCTGTGTTCACCAGCCTGGAAATCTTGAAAACCTGTCCTTTGGATAATTATGGGGGCTTTATTATATAGGCATGATTGATTGATTCATTGGCCATTGGTGATTCGACACAACCTCCAGCCCTCTGTGCTCTTTGAACTAAGGGAGTGGGACTGAAAGTTCCAACTAATCACATGGGTGGTCTAGGCAACTATCCCCCAACCTTAGCTTTTCCAAAGTCACCTCATTAACATAATAAAAAATACCACTCTCATCACTTGGGAAATTCCAAAGGTTTTAGGAGCTCTGTGCCAGGAATAGGAACATAGACCAAATATATATATCTCATTATAAGTCATGACCACAACTATATTTTGACTATTTTGAAACCTTTAGTGTAATTTGTATTACTGAGATACAGATTAAGGCAAACGTTTTTCTACAAACCTGGGTTGGTTTGTGTCAGGTCAAGTAAGCTAGAGCTGGCTTTTTTTTTTTTAATTTTAAATTTTATTTTTAGAGAGAGAGAAACATTGATGTGTTGCTCCATTTATTGATGTGTCATTGGTTGATTCTTGTATGTGCCCTGACTGAGATCAAACCCACAACCTTGGCGTATGGGGACGACACTCTAACCAACTGAGCTACCCGGCCAGGGCTAGAACTGGCTTTCACTATTGTATTTCATATCTTAAGTTTTTTAGCCCTGGATGGAAATAAGGATACCTGAGTGTAGAGTCCTGTTCTTATATCAAACTCAATTTAGGATGTCGAGCAAAACACTTCTTTTTCTTTTTTAACATCACCCCCTAGGTATAGTGGGGAAGGTAATCCAGTTCTGTTTGCCTTTAGTGTGCTGTGAGGCTGCCCAGTACTAGGTGACCCCAAGGGGAGTCAGTCTGAGGTCCGCTATACTGGTGCTGCGTTCCTTTCTTCCTATGAGATAATCCCATAGGGGTTAACTGAGGGTTAGAGAATGAATTAGGAAAAGTAGCAGAGACATGTGCAGTGTGGGTCTTCAGATCCAGGAGTTTTCCTTTGACTAGTTCTCTTGCTGTTTACTTAATTCTTCTGTTATGTTGTAGTTCTCTACTTCCATGTGTTTGAATCTGCTGGAGATAACCATCTACTCAAGCTATCTGATTTTTAAAATTCACTTTTTCTTTATTATTTTTTAAATTACAAAACTAATAAACTCTAAGTGGAAAGACAATTCAAGTGGCCTAGCCGTATATGAAGTACCTCTACAAGTCCCACTTTCCTTTTCAGAAGAAGTCACTGCTGTGTTCCTCCCAGCCCAGTGTCTCCTTGAGTAAAGAGGCTAAAAGAAGCAATAAAGATGGCTTGTTGCCATGGTTTCTCCTTGGTTCCCTTGTCTCACCATTCCTCCTTGCTGAAGTGGCTCTCAGTCGCTAGGAGAGGAATTTCTGGACCACGGGGTGTGGCAGGCCCAGCTTTACACTCCCACCAAGTGCCTGACAGTTCCAGTTGCCCCACATCCTTGCCAACACTTGACACTTGTAACCATTCTGGTGAGGTATCTTCGTATGGTTTTCATTAGGGTTTTCCTGATGACTACTGATTTGAACACCTCTTATAAATTTATGAGTCATTTAAATATCTTTTTAAAATTCCTAAGTCTCTTGCCTGTTTTTCTATTGGGTTATCTTTTTGTTATTAATTTGTTGGTGTCCTAAATGACTTACCCACACTGTGACTTGCCTTTTACTATCTTAATTGTTTATTTTGATGAACAGAAATTCTTAATTTTAATGTAGTCTAGTGTATTGTGTCTTTCTTTTGTATGTAGCGGCTTTGTGTCATGCTTAAGAAAACTTAGGCCTACACAAGGGCAATGAAGATCCTCTCCTGTGTTTTTTCCCCCAGAGCCCTTACTGTTTTATCTTTCATATTCAGCTCTATAAGCTACCTGGAAACAATTTTTGTATGTGGCATGAGGTATAGGGGTCAGGATTCATTTTTTATTATAAATGGGTAGCCAGTTGATCGTTTACTAAACAACATTCCTTTTCCTTCTATACTGGACAGTCTGTTTTGTCATAAATTAGTGGCCACATATGTTTGGACCTATTTCTAGACTCTCTTTTCTGTCCCCTTAGCCTTTACCTCACTGTTTTCCTTACTGTAGTTTTACAGTAAGTCTTGCTATCTAGTCGTACAAGTCCTCCAAGTTTTCTTTTTCTAGATTAATCTTGACATTTTGCATTTCCACATACATTTTAGAATTAGTCCATCAATTTCCACACATGCACAAGACCTTGGGTTTTTATTGGGATTACAAGGGGAATTTTCTTGTGGAAAGGTGGTAAATTATTACTCAGTTTCTTTAATGAATATGGGCCTTTTCAGATTTTCTTGTCAATCTTAGTAAGTTGTGTTTTTCCTTAAGTTGTTTTTTAATTTGTTCATTTCATCTAAATTTTGGAATACTGGCATAAAATTGTTCATAATAGTATTCTTTGTTTTTTTCCTTTTGGAGATTTGGTTTTTAACGTAGTTGTTAAAGAGTTTGAGTAGGGAAGTAATAAAATGGAATTCATTATGTTTAATTTTGTTGATGGGGAGTGGTTGAGAGTGAGGTTTTCTTGATGTAAAACCCTGGGTGTCCTACCTCCCAGGTGAAACTGGCTGTACCGCTCAGCTTTATGACCCAGCTGGCATCTCTTCACCTTTTCCCTGGTGCTCCAGTGTCATTTGAGCTTCATTTTGTTTATAGATGACTTGATTGCTTTCATTAAAAAGGGACACTTTTTCCATCTTATATATGGAATGAGTGACTGAATCTGAGAGAGGGAGACTACGTGGTTACATATAACCCCCAAATAGTGACTGCTGAAATGGAATTATACTTCTTCATGTGGAGTGTACAGAAGTCCTTCATCGTCATTGAGTCTCCCCTTAGGAATTCCTAGCTTTCTTTTCTCTGTAGTAGTTAGGATAAGGCATTATTATATGATTAAATAATACTAATTGAGATAATACCTTTGACTTTATACCTGAGAAGAAATTTTGTTGAAAGTTATTTTTAACTATTTTGTGGTACTTTTAGGGTTGAAGGATAGTTTGGTCTGGATTTGAACAGGTTTGTGATTAAGACCAGTTCACAATGGAGATGATTTAACAAAACAAATATATTTAGTTTTTTACCTAGTCCTCTGGAGAAATAGTGAAATAAGCCATCCTAAGCCACTGAGTTTCCTGTGGGACTGTGGCATCCAGTCCTTGGTGAGTGGGTGGCACTGCTCTGTGCAGCCCCTCAACTTGTTGCATGGAAGTGCTCTGAACTCAATGTTGTGAGACACCAGTGACACAAGTTTTTATTTCTAATCTGTGTGAACTGATACTTACAAAATCCAATAAAAATGAATTATGAAAATGAAATTTAAAAGGCCCTGCAAACAGATGTCCTAAGTTTTTATTATGAGGTTCAGCAGACATAAAATTATTTTGTTAAATTACTTTAAGCCTGAAAAAATTATTATTCTTAATTTCTGTAGTTATTTCATTGTACCAACTACTAGTTGAGCCAGTACCAACTACTTCCCCGGCCCGCACGGGCCGTGAGCCTCGCTCGTGCACTCTGTGATCCTGCCGAGACCTGCCCCTTGCTTCCGCCTTCCTCTTCCAGAGAATACCTTATTCTTGAATGAGGGTCTTAGTAAAGCCAATTGCCACTTGGGAGGGCTGTCTCCTGAATCACATTTGAACAGTGGCTCAAGTTAAGCATAGGGAAGCCCAATTTAAAATTTAGTTAACATTATAAAAATTGTTATTAAAGATTCAGCTAATCAGTCATTGAATTGCTTAACCAGGCAACAGAACTGGAGCTATATTAGAGAGACTGGGTAAAATTTCTCAGATCAGTTCTTTAAAATCAGTCTCTTACCAAGATACGATGAAATGTTTTCAAGGGCATTGCCAGAAATTCCCAGATAATAGGATTACCTCCAAATAAACATAAAAGCCAGAAAAACAAAAGTGAAGTAGTATCCTGGATGATGAGCTCCAGAAATCATATTGTGCACTCATTGTTGCTAGGGGGTTCCCCAAGCCGTTTTTCCAGACCTTCCAAAGTAGGAGGCTTCCTGGGGACTAGAGGGTCCTTCCTGTTCTCACAGGTGGTAAATTTACTGTAACCATAACCAAAGATGAGTCTGTCTTCAGTTCTTTTCGTGAACAAAGTTGAACTTCATTAAGAAGTTCATTAAGACTACGTTAGTGTCAGCAAAACTTAATTTGGCTTTGAAGCTGAGGTGCTTAGATTGTTGTGTTGGGGATTTAAAATTTAAAATTGCTAGTGGATTTTGTGATTTATTTTTAGTTTAATAATGAACAAGTATAATATTTTTGTTAAAGTTACTTTTTAAACTTGTGCTTAATTTTTTTTTAATCTAAATGATGTTTAATATTGTTTACTTTTCAGGAATTACCCAACTCTGTCTTCCTGGTGATGGAGGTAGGTAGTATACAAGCATGTGTTTATTTCAAATTCCCTTTGATTAATATGCACTTAATTTTTTTTCTTTATTGTTGGAAGTATTACACATGTCCCCCAATATACACTTTAAAATTGAGAGTATATAGTTATTTGAAATTTTGAATTAATAAAGTTGACATTGATTTAGATTCTGCCTTATAAGGAAAATAGTATTAAACATTTTTGATTCTCCTATATTTTTCAGGCTAGATTTACATTACATACAAATGAATTTTTAATTAACTGATAATGGATTGAATTAATCTTGAACTGGTGTCCTTATTTTAATTACTTTTTCTTTTGTATGTCAGTATTGCAATGGTGGAGACCTGGCAGATTATTTGCAAGGTAATCTTTGTGTGTGTCAGTGTTCAATAAAGATAGTCCTGTAATCTTTTTAATTCTGAGAGTTATTTCTGAAATATGCTACTTCTGTTTTCTGCACTTATATAGAAACATTGAATAAATATTTGTGTGCTTGCTTAATTGTGGTGACTGTGCTGACTGTAGTTTGTTGTGATTCGTTTTCGCACTGTGCTGGTGTGTGAGCACTTTCTTTATGTGTGCCTCTCTTCAGCAGTGTTTGGGAGGGGTCCTCTTCCCAAGAGAAGGAATCAAATAAACTTCTCCTCTTCATGGGATTCCCCTGGGCTGCCATCAGTGAACCTTCAGCTCCTTTCATTTCTTCCCCAACAAAAAGAAAATTATAATGGGAGAATGTATCCAAGAATATGTTGATTAATGTGAATGTTCTATGTAACTTAAAAATGTTATAAGGGATTACAAGTAACATTGAGCCCTGGCTGGTGTGCCCAGTGGTTAGAGCATCGGGCCACAAACCAGGGGGTTGCAGGCTCAGTTCCTGGCCCTGGTTGGGATGAGTGCGGGAGGCAACCCATCGATGTGTCTCCCCACCCCAGCCTCCCTTCCCTCCACTCTCTCTAAAATCAATGGAAGAAATAACCTCAGGTGAGGGTTAAAAAAAGTAACATTGAAATTATTTTTGTGGCAGAGATCAGATCTTAGTATTAGATGGTTTTTGAAATTTTGTATCCAAAATGTGTACATGTTGGATAATAAGCATTCAGGCCAACTTGTGTCTCTCAAAAGTGTTTTTTTAATGATGTTAGAGGAGGTAAGCATATACTCAGTTACCCTTTCAAGATGCAAGGGAAATACACAGAAATACAGTTAGAGGTTCATAACTCAGCCTATAAATAGATCATGACAGTTGATGGTAAAAACACTAAGACATCAATAGATATACCCATAAAGGGTATTGACAGTTTACAAAAGAGAAACAGCATATTAAAGATGTTTGATTTCAGTGAGTAATTAGGGAGTGCAATTAGGAATGAGACCGGCCACCCTAGCCAGTTTTGGCTCAGTGGTTACAGCATCGACTGTGGACTGAAGTGTCGTGGGTTCGGTTCTGGCCAAGGGCATGTACCTGGGTTGCAGGCTCGATCCCTGGCCTGGTCAGGGTGCATGCAGGAGGCAGCCAGTTGATGTGAATGTGTCTCTCTCACATCTATGGTTCCCTCTCTGTCTCTCTCTCCCCCCACCCCCCACTTCCACTCTCTTTGAACAGCAGTGGAAAAAATATCCTCAGGTGAGGATTTAAAGAAAAAAAAAAAAAAG